GTAAGAAAATTAATTATACATTTTCATCTTATCCAAAAAGTTCTTATTCAAGCGTTAAGTTTCGTGCCAAGGATTAATAGCAATATTGATAAAATTAATTTAATTTAAAAGCATGAACAATAATAGTACACTTATTCTGCATAGGGAAATAAAGAAAATTCATATTATTACAAAATCAAGCGTCGCTAAACAAAAATTTTTACACGTACAAGTAATAATAAGTTTCTAATGTATTTTTCATTTGCTTCTTGTTAGAGAAGGACCAACTGTAGGGTCACGGTTAGGCGGAATTTGTATGATGGCAAAAGAGTAATGTGAATATATTGACATATTCTATTCATTGAATTAATTTGGACCACTGATGTAATAGATCTGATGCATATTTCTTATGATTGAGTATTACTTGTAAGAATATTGGTCGAGATACGCGAAAAAAAGTGATTACAAAGTGATAGTATAGTATTAAAAATCTTGTCATTATTATACATGCGAGACTCGTTACTACTGCTATCTTCTATTTACTAACCTGATGCTATTTACACATTTCTTATGTAAATATCACCAAGCAAAGCACACAACATAGGCAGGATACCTTTGAACCATAACCATTCAAACAATTCATAAACTACTTGTCTATTAAGCCACTGAAACCACGTATAAGTGGTAGATAAGATAGATAATACAGATAACAGTAACAGCAGAAATAATTATCGAATTAACACAACTACTCATAAGAAAGTTCATATCCAGACCAGTCAGAGTCCTCCGAATCTGAAAATACGGTAACAATATCCGCAAGTTCCAAATCGTATATCCAACGATCATCTCTCTCTTCGACGAAGTCCCACAAGAAAAATTCCTGTAAAAAAATGTTATTAAGTGTATGTACAATGAAGATACTATATTACTAACTAACATCTACGAAAAAGAATCAAATTAAAACCGCAATCAACTTACAAAAAAAAAACAAGATTTTTGTAAGAAAAACTTACACGTAAGATATCAAATTCTACATCGGCATTACGTCGTTGACGAACGGGTGGACCAACATCTGTTTTAGTACCATCGGGAAGTGCATGGAGGTAAAAGCATTTGTTACCAAAGGGACATTTGCCACGTCCTTTATTGAAATATTTGCAATCTTTGGTGCTGCAATAAGTAAATAATATAATGTACTCGCGTACTACGTATAATAAATATGTTTTCTCTTACCTTAATGCGCATTTGTAGTCCATTATTAATTTCTCTTTCTCTTCCTTTGTATCTACCCAGTACATGCTCGGACACACGAAGTCAGAAGTGACACGACATTCTGGACAAGCTCTAATGATCTTGTTGTCAAACTGTTTAGCTTTTCTCCATTTTCTAATACAACTTAGACAAAAGCAATGATTACAATTTGGTAGAATACCAAATCTTTGTTCACCTGATGCTTTCTCCATTACTATCTCAAAGCATACTCCACAAGACTTTTCTCTGCTACGCTGAATTGCAAATGAAAGCTCCATATCTACTTCATGCTGTTTAACGCACGCCTAAAAGAAAAAAAAAAAGATTAAGAAGACTGATATTTTGTAACATTGCAATCGTTGAATGTAATGTTTATTTACATTCGTATGCTTCTTTCGAAGATCTTCATTGTGTGGATGAAGCGCGGCACGATTGCATAATTCACAAATGTCCCCATGTAAGTATGTACAATTACGTTTTTTACAAATTCCAGTTGCTACTGCATATGGGCAAAGAGGCTCTACAGATAGACTGGATGCTTGACCAGAAGGATTAACCGCTTGTGCATAAGATAATGGCAATGAAGAGCTCATAGATGTTCCTAAAGTAGTAGAAGCCTCACTTGCCGAAGAAGAACCAGCAACAGGCGAAGGTACAAATTCTGGTGCTTTCACCCATTCTTCTGTCATACAGGCACTTTCTTCACTGGAAATACATTGATTTGTTGTACTGCACAATATCTTCTATTACTTTATTATATATGTGTTTATGTAAATACATTGCCATTTACACATCATTTAATACATACATATATATACATTTATACACCACAAATTATGTATTATGTGATTTGCAAATGGTATTACAAGTTAAATCTTCCTAAGTTACAGCGTCATTCGATGACAACATACACATTTTTTACTGTTGTTGAATTTGAAGTATTTGAAGTATGTTGCCCAGATGAAGAACTATCTACCAAATTTGCATTCGCTGAATTATTATCAGCTGTTTCAACAGTGTGACGAAAATGGCACTGGTTTCCAAATTTACAGATGCCATGCTTAAAAAAGCGACAAGCAACATTAAAAGTTGGAACAGACCCGGATATTACTGTTTCTGTGGTACTTCCATCGTTTCTAGCTCCTTGGCTATGGTGATACCTGCAATTATTTCCTTCTCTGCACATACCATTTTTGAAGTAACTGCAACCAAAGAAATGAAATTATAACAAGGAAAAATTTGTATTAAGAAACTATTACTAAATCGTTTATTAATAAATTGTTGACTACTTACGTTAAAATAAAAATTTTTTATGTTTATAAAATAAAAAATAATCTAAAAACATTATATCAATTAAGAGATATTGATTAATCAGTATATAACCAATGTATGTTTCTTTACTATTCTATCCATTATGGCAGTGCTTTTAGATTATTTAAATTATATAAAGTATTCGACAAATAATTTTTACATAGACCTGAATAAAATTTAAGTATATAAGAAATAACAATTATATACAAAAGTATCATTTATTATAATTATCATAGAATAAACATAATACGTGTTTATCTAACAGATTTAACTGGTAAATAAAAGTATTTTCCAATGAACCATTTCTTTTTCATTAACAGATAATGTTGCTGCGTCTATCAATAAATAATTTTAATTGCCAAATCACAATTTATTTAATACATTTGTGAACATTTTGTTAGATTTGTTAATTCAATTATTTGCATAAAAATGCACATACATTTCACTGATCTAAACAACATTTCAAAGTCTGTTTATAACAACTGGCAACTCTTGTTTTCTGAAAAAAAATATTCCGCAGTTACCGTTAAGTTCTGACAAATCTCTGATTTCTGTAAGTCGAGACAAGACAGTTGCGCTCGTTCTATTGTTTCCGACAGTTAAGACTGCACTTACAACAAAAAACGATTATACCGTCTTGTGCCGAATTAATGCTTCGCTGTCGACGGGTTTAACCGTCTTATTCACGAACGTGTTAAAAGAGAAAAAAAAAATTAAGAAAAATCATGCACACAATCCAAAAAGTGTCAATATTTGTGTCTTGGCATTGGGTGACAGGTTACAGTATATACTTCTGTAGAAAGAGTTATTGTTCGCCTTTTTGCCATTCTCATGTGATCATCCAAACATATTAGGAAAACGATGATAGAAGAGTTCCTTACCGGCAAACAACGCTCTGTGTCCAATTGTCGGCCATTTTCTAAAGCTTCCACCTTAACAATGATCGACAACGCGTCCTCGAAGGGTCGCGTACACTATTTGTTCGTTACGGCAGAACAACACGTAATATGAATCAGCTAAAATAAACCTGAACACGAGGTAGCACGATGCTCCGTATTCTATCACCAATCCTGTTCGACAAGTATCCTTTAACAGGATCCCTTGAATATCGTACAAAAACACCAATTTCTCTGTCCTTCTTCTCTCTTCCTATCTCAATACCTTTGCCGTCGCTTTACACGGTTTTCTTCCCGTGCAAATTTCTTTGCACCATATATACGTGTGCTTTCCGCTTTTATTCGCTATCGAAGAATGTTTAACATTTGCTACACATGCAACTCGTCAACTTTAGGCGTGAGTGCACACATATACGTCACGATTAAAACCAACAACAGAGGCAAATTCACATTTGACCGATACACACACAAGTTAGTAAGCATGCGCCTAACTTTTAATTATTCAAATACGCTTTACAGGAATTCAACGTATTCGACCGTGATTTTTGTGCGATACGTTAACCGGAGAATGAAAATGAAGGAAATCGATCGTAGAATATCTAATTGTTAAACTCAAATGTTTCCAATAACATTTTGGTTATGACAAAAGAATTTCTTGGTTTAAGCGGTCTTGAATTTGCATTACGAAATTTAGAAAATACAACAATTTCCTCGATAAAATAAATTAAAATTGCTTTTCTTTTATCGTTATTGTAATTGATTAAGTACTTAATAATTTTCACTTGAAACGTATGTTTTTATATAATTTGTATTCAATTGTTTTACAAAGTATAATTCACATAATTTTATCGTAGAAAAAATAATAACGACATTCTTATGTGTTCATATGTGTACGCATAAATAAATAAAATATTTGTACTTATAATTTAGCAGGTATTTCGAAAAGTTTGTATTTTTTTGCTTCTTTTTATAAATATAATAGTTACAGATAATATGAAAAAATTATTATGTTGCTGCGATATGCTGTATTTATTTTGTATACGTTTTTGCAACAGGTATGAACACAGAAATGTTTATTAATAAACAAAATATTTTAGTTGTTATGAGAACGCGGCTTCATTTAGTTTGATCCAAATAAGAGATTATGATTATATGTTGGTACTGTACGTGGATTGCCGCCACGGCAGCTATATTTCGACGATGAATACTGATCTTTAGTTTTAAATAAAAAATTGTGAGACTGAGTGCTGTTTAGCATCGAGATTAAAAGGTGATAGTTGTATTTATTGTTATCTAGAAGTATAAGAGTATTTTATATACTTGTAAATATACTTCACTGTTTTCGACCAATATCAAATTTTAAATTGTGCATGATATTTAATTTCAAATCAGTGAATAGTATTGTTTAACTTCTTTTACGTTTATAAGAAAGTATCATCATTTAGTGAGAAACATAAATACAATCCTTTTCTTCCTTTATTTATGTTTTACCTTCACTGTCAGACTTGATTAAATCACAAGTACCAAATGCAACATGGCGAAGTGAAGCTAACTTTCTGCGATAACCTCAATCTTCCATACAGTGGTTTACTGTATCGGTGTAGAAAATGTAATGTCAGTTGTTTTTTGAGAAATGTTTTATTGTTTCTTCTTATCATCAGGTATTTTCATTCTAATTCTAATGGATTTATTGCACTCTTATGTCTGAATTCTGTGTGTTTCTCATATTGCATTTAGATATTTGTTTATATTGGTCAATGTGAGCCGTTCAATTTACGTGTGTTACTCGAATAAAATATATTCTTTGCTGACAAGTATATGCAATAATTTTTATACATTCATTTTAGTTTCACCATATTAATATTTTATTCTGTCAATTTTCAGATTCATGTGATCATACACTGTTATACGATTGATTATGGCTTCTAATATTAATATCGAATTATTAGCAGACAAATCTGAAAAAGATTCACCAACGGAAAATGAAGAAAATATTGAAAATTCAACTATTCAAGAGAACAAAACAAATAGTGAAGCAAATGAAATATCAGAAGAGTTGTTAAATACTGAAGCAAAAGGAGAAGTCAATCAGACTTGTGAAAAGAGTGAAACTGTGGTTGACACAGCTAATGAAATACAACAGAAATTATGTGATGAAAGCATAGACAATAGAGAAACATCAAATACCAAATCATGTAAAGAAAACCTTTTAAATAAAGATAAATTAAAAGAAAATAGTTTAAATTTAAATGAAAACAATGCAAATGTACCATCAACAGTTTACGATAGTGCACAGTCAGATGGTTTATGTGAAAATAATACAAAAACTGTTTTACAAGAAGATAAATCCAAAGCAATATCAACAATATCAAATGTCATGGACAGTAATGAAACAATTGATGTAACAAATAATCCTAACACAGTAGAAAATACAGAATCTCAAAAAGATTTGGTAGATGTGCCAGGGAATGAAAAAATCCAGAATTCAACAAGTAGTGAGATAGATAATACATGTAAATTAAACTTAGAAGAGAAAGAGATTGCTGGCAATGTCATAGATGATTCTCGTACAGAAGAAATACAATTATCTACTAATGAAAGAAATGACTTAGGTAATAAAAAGACTGATTCAGAAGGAACATCCGAAGAATGTGACAAAAATGTATCAGAGAAAAATATAATAGAACCTGAGAATACAGAATTTGTACAATTCTCCCAAGAGAAACATGGAGATGCACAAATTGAAATTCAATCTATAGATGCAGAAGATCCTTTTGGTGGAGACAATCTGAATGCTGAAAATGTTGAACCAGTAGACACAGATGATCTCAATGAAACGGAAGTAGATTTTTCTAAATTGTGTACTCAAGCTGACAATCTACAGGATATTGTAATTGCTGGAGAAGACAATTTTAATGCTAGTAATAAAGACAATGAAGAAAATAAAGATATTAGTACAGTGGAATCTTCAACTACAACTCAAGAACTCGAAAAGAATTGTGCAGATTCGTCTGAGATAGAAGGAAGTGAAAATTTAAATAAAACAGAAGTTGCAGATGCGGCAAAGGAATGTAATGATAGAACAGAAAAACCTCTTCATGAAGTAACTTCAATAGAAACCGAAGAAGAACAGTCAAATGTTTTACCAGGACAAGATGATGAGTTATGTATTATTCCAGACAGTATGAAAGTGATAATTCCTGGACAGACAGACAAGCCTAATGTTAACAGTAATACACCTCCTTGTGAAATTAATTCTGATCATAATGAAGTTCCAAAAGTTTCTGAAGATAATACATCAAATACTGATAGTAGTAAAGATCTACAACAAAATGTAAATGAATTGAAAAATAGAGACGAGAATAATGCAAAAGCTATTGAAGGTATTCAGGTAGCGAAAGATTCGATTAGCAGTTTCACAACTCCAGCTGCAGATGTTATTAATATTGATGAGGAGTCAAAGAACTCTGAAATTGAAGAAGTCACGAGTAAAGACATCTGTAAACAGTGTAGAGAAGAAAGGTCATGTAAGATTAAAGTTAAAATTGGTCTTGATACTTACAATGTTTGTTCTAAAACTTGTAAGGCTTTATTCAAAGCTGCCAATAATAGATCTGTAGATATTCCCAGTGATGGGGTTAATTCAAAACGAGAGAAACGTTGTGCAAATTGTTTGCTAATCGTTGAATTAGGTGATGAACGTAATCTCTCTTGGGAGACAATGGAATTTTGTAATGAAGAATGTTTAGGCAAATTCCAGACGAAGTATGGAAGTTACTGTAGAAATTGCAATGGTTCGGTGCAGGCAGTGAGTTTAGGCAAATATTGTGTACGATTCGGTTATGATGTTAGACAGTTTTGTTGTTCTACTTGTTTAGAAGAATTCAAAAAAGGATTGAAAGTATGCACATATTGTCAGAAAGACATAAGTTCTAGTGCTGAGGGTTTTCTTGCACCTGTAGGTGATAAGGGACAATTTAAAGACTTTTGTACACAAGATTGTATGGAAAAATATTCAAAAATGAGTTCCGTTGAACCTCCAGTCATCGAAACAAAATGTTGCAGTGTTTGCCAAGAAGTAAGAGAATGTTACCTTTTAATGCTGTAATTAAGTCTATTTCTAATATAAGGTAAATCGATGTGTTACATTAAAATTATGTTTTTTATAACAGGAGAAGTACGTTCATTGTGAGGTTCAAATAGATAGATCCGGTCCAGTAGCTATTTGCAGTGAACCTTGTTTCGCAGCATTCAAATTTGTAAAAAAAGTTGACCCTGATCAATGTTCTACTTGCAAAAAATTTTTTGAACTACCTCATAAGAAAAGTTCTGTTGTGTTTTATGAAAATGAAGCTCACACGTTTTGTTCTAAGACTTGCTTAAATATATTTATTATTACAAACAGAAAAATTGTTCCATGCAATTGGTGTAAGGTAAAAAAGTACAATTTCGACATGATCAAAAAGGAGTTAAAAACAGGACAAGTAATGATGATGTGCAGCTTAAATTGTTTGACGTTGTATCAGGTATGAAATGTTACATATTTTTAATGCAAATCATCGAAAAGAAAGTGGTTTCTATATATTCCAAATTGCATACAGGTCTCGATCAATGCAGTGTCAGCTAAAAGAATAAATTGTGACTTCTGTAGAGAATTTTCTCAAGCACAATATCATTTGACAATGTCAGACGCTACAATACGAAACTTTTGTTCGTATAGTTGTGTGATGAATTTTCAAGCTCAATATACGAAATCGCCAATAACGATACCAACGGGCGACGACCCCGTGCCTACTGGTATGCCTAAAAGGTCATTACCTCAGAGAAGCACGATCTCGACTAATCAGAAAACTAATGATCTACAGAACAAAAAGAACATGCCAGTTATTTCTTCTGTAACAAGTCTAGCCGCAATAGCAAACGGGCAAGCTAGTCCAACAACGCAACAAAATAGTGTAAATGTAAATAATATGGTGATACCTTCAGTTGCTATTGGTCAAAATCAGGCACCTCAAGTAATTTATAAGCAACACATTATAACGAGACCTCCAAGTCCGGCCCAAGTACACAATAAAACTACTCAGTGTAAGCCATTAATGCATACAAAGGGAGTTTCCGTGCGTCCACATCCTTGTACAAAATCCACGCAAACGGATGGAGTCCAACAAGCGGTTATTCCCATACCTGTACCAATTTATGTTCCATATCCGATGCATATGTATAGTATGCCTTTTCCGGTTCCACTACCATTCCCATTGCCAATTCCTGTTCCTATTTTTATACCTACAACAAGAAATAGCGCTAAAGGCATACTTAAAGATATTAAAAGAATACAAGAAAAAATACCTGCAGATCCGTTTGAAGCTGAACTTCTTATGATGGCAGAGATGGTAGCAACAGAGAAAAAAGCTAACGAGAGTGATTCAGATTCTGCGGATGAAAGGTAAACTAGAACAACTAATGCCAATCGAAGCTATAGAATGGATTAACGATTATACCACCTTTCCATTTTTTTTTGTATGTAGAGATGAAGAAACTGGTGATCGTGATCAATCTCATAGTGGAGGTTTTAGTCCTGAAGGGGTTGACTCTAGTAATACTTTTGGTGATGATATGTTACAAATGGCTCTAAAAATGGCAACTGGAGAATTAGATGAACCTGCAGTTGATTTGGAAGCTGCTTTAACTCCAAACACAATTACAGCTACGCAAACGTCAACACAATCTGAGACAACTATGGAAAGCGATGGTAACACAAAATGATTTTAGAGGTTTCATAACTGAACAATTTAAAATTATGAGAGATTAAAACATTATGTTTTATATTTAATACTTTCAGTCCAAACTGAGCGACTTATGGTTAGTTCTCGCGGAAGAAAACGAATGGCTCCATATAAGCCAAGATCTACCCCAAATAAACGAGGGAGACGTGTATCTACAACGAACGATATGCCTTTGATGCCGCCTCCTGAACCTCAACCACCACCTCAACCAAGGATTATAGAACCTATGGAAAAACCAGATGCCAACATGGCGTTAAAATATACATTCGGAGTAAACGCTTGGAGGCAATGGGTAATTAAAACGTAAATGTGATTTCGTATCTTCTTGAGAACTATATAAGAAATGAATAATATATTAATAGGTAGTTACAAAGAATGCTGAACTAGAAAAACAAAGTACACCGACGAGGAAAATGAAATTATTTAAAACGGATCTCCTGCAGCTCACGGCAGATGAATTAAATTATTCATTGTGTCTTTTTGTAAAAGAAGTTAGAAAACCAAACGGCACGGAATATGCTCCGGATACGATATATTATCTTTGCTTAGGTAAATATCCTAAATAAGTGTATTTCTATTAAATAGTTTCAATGTCCAGTTTAATCTTGTATTGCAGGTATACAACAGTATTTGTTTGAGAATAATAGAATAGACAATATTTTTACGGATACATATTATGAAAAATTTACGGACTGTTTAAATGAAGTTGCAAAGAAGTTTTCTGTTCTGTATAATGATGCACGTAAGACAGTTAACCGTTATTTTGAAAATCAATTTAAAAAAATCGTTAGTAATAAGTATTTGTTTTCTCTTCTTTAGAATATATTGTAACGAGGGTTGAAGAGGAACATTTATGGGAATGTAAACAATTAGGTGCTCACTCACCACATGTTCTCTTAAGCACTCTTATGTTTTTTAATACTAAGCACTTTAATCTTGTGGTATGTACCTAACTTTCTGTATTTTAACTTATACGAAAGTAATAAAAATTTGATGATCCTCAAAATTAAACTGCGAATGAAAAATTTAGAGATGAATACAATTTTTTAGACAGTAGAAGAGCATATGCAGTTATCGTTTTCTCATATTATGAAACATTGGAAACGTAATCCTGCCGCACAACCTACTGCAGCAACGGGAAAAGTTCCAGGATCGAGAAATGTTCTCCTCCGTTTTTATCCACCACAATCTGCATTGGGTTAGTATTAAGTGGTTATGGTAACAAATGTATAAGAATATTAGGAACTTATGATTCTTCTTCTAGAAGGCAATTCGCGTAAAAAGAAAGTATACGAGCAACAAGAAAACGAAGAAAATCCATTAAGGTGTCCTGTAAAATTGTACGAATTTTACTTATCCAAGTGGTATGTTAAACTCATTGCAGTTCAATATTCCTAAAATATATATTATTCTATTCTAAAAAATAATGTTAAATGTTTGTAAAATAATATGTAATTTATTTTTTATAACAATTTCAGCCCAGAAAGCGTAAAAACTCGTAACGATGTATTCTATTTATTACCTGAAAGAAGCTGTGTACCAGACAGTCCAGTATGGTACTCAACGTCTCCATTGGCTAAAGAGCATCTCATAAAAATGCTATATCGCATTAAGATGGTTAAAGAAATTAATGTGGCATTATTGACTAGTTAATTTCGTGTTCGTATATTTATCTCCCCTCTGTTAATTCGGTTAATGTAACGGAGAAAAAAGTAACCGTTTCCGCATAAAACAAACAAGAATGTTTGAAGAATGATGTATAATCATTGAAAGTTTATAATTTCTATTGTATATTTTTCACTTCCTAATAAAACAAAAAAATTTATCATCAAATGAATATTTTAAAATGGTATTATAGGCATAAGTTTATAATGAACGTGTATATATATATACTATTTTTAGTATATTTAGGTATATTATTATATATTATATATAGTATATTACAAATATTTAGATACATTAACAGTAAAGATAAATTTTTATTTAAAACATACAAAAAATTACATCTTCTTCGGCCTTACAAATTGACGTTTCCGTTTGTCTATTCTCTTCTTCACCTCTAATTGGGAGAGTTCTGTGTATAATTCAGTAAATATTTCTTTTTGTTCTTCTTCTGGAATAGTTTCCCTAATAAAATACAAAAAAAGAATTATGTAAATAAACTCTTGATACTTTCATATATAAGCTGAAATTTATGCATGGTTTGTTATATAAAGTTTTTTTACCTATAAGTTTTCATTAAATCATATTTCTCCCATGGCTTAGCAGAAGCTTCTGCTTTCTTCCTACGTTTTTCGGTAACAACTAACTCTGTAACTCCTTTTAAATTAAATAGTTCCCATTTTTGTGACCATTTTTGTTTTGTAATCGGAACTTTAATTTTATTTACTGGAACAGGTGCTCCCGTAGGTAATACTTCTGCCTCCATATTAAATGGAAATGTACTATATTCCGGTGGCGCATCTCTGAGATAAAGTAGTTCTTTATCTAATCTCTTTTCTAACCTGTAAGTATTATAAACATATAATTAAATAATATAAAATAAAGAAGTACAAGTAAAGAAGAAAATAATATAATTAAGTATTGTTTACCTTAAACATTCAATTTTCTTTATAGCTGGATCATATAATTCAAAACGAATTTCTACAGGTTCTTTATCTACAATGTTCCTTAAAAGAAATGAAGATCGTAATCCAGTACATTCTCTTAATATGCATATACCAACAAATTGGTTTACTTTTCCAGATGCATGTGGCTCAGAATAAGTTACTCGTAATACAGAGCCAACGTAAAATTCAGGAATGTTTATGACAGATCTTCTGGCTAACATATCAAGACGTTCTAATTTTTCTGTTAAACTATTACGATGTAATGAATTTGGATCAGGCAAAAACTCTGGATAAATAAATCTGTATCTCTCAATATTTTTATCAGATGATTCTTGCATAGTTTGGTTTCCTGCATTATCACTTTTAGGTTTTTCTTCGTCCTTTCCTGTTTGTGCAAGAGATGAAAATGTTCTCCCTTCGTTGCCTAAAAATAATAAATTTAAAATTTGTATTGCCCCGGTTATTGTTAATACAAACAATTATTGTATACAGAACATAAAGTAATACTTATAAAATTAAACTCGTTTAAATACGAACATATAGTAATAAAAATACAAAGGAACATACTTAGTGATTTCAAAAAGCGTAAATTTTGCCATGTTTTATAAAACGAAACTCTGGTTAGATTAACCATGTTACGATACGAAGATATGTTGTTTACCAATTCACAAGTTGATAACTTTGGATGTAGTGCACACTTTAAACGTAGAATATTTTCATAGAGATGGAGAACACCGAAGTGTTACATGATTTCATCTATGTAAGAGTCCTCTATACTAACACTTGGAACGATTAAAATTCATTCACGTTGCATCTTTGCTAGTACCACGGACGAGGTACAGAAGTCCTTATACTTCATCTTTGCTAGTATGTAGTTTGTGCTTTAGAATTAAATAAAGTGTTGGTTCATTGTGTCTATCGATAGTTGCAATTACAATTTTAGTTTACAATGCCGTTAGAAAATCTTGAAGAAGAAGGTTTGGAGAAGAATCCGAATCTAGAATTAGCACAAACAAAATTTTTGTTGAGTTTGCCTGAACATAAAGATGATCCTTTCTTGAAGAATAAACTGCTAGATGCTATTAAAGCAGAAAGTGAGACTGCATCTTTTTCACTGTTTTAAGTACACTGATATATCAATATATTTAATAAGTTCCAGTTATAATGTACTTTGCCTAATTATTCTTAAGCAGAATTAACACAGTTATTTGCCACTTCATCATTTCTATGATACATAAGTTTGTACAATATTCTGTCAATGTTGATCTAACCTCTTTTATATTTCATAGATTTAATAGTAAAAATTTATAGATTCGTTCGTCTTTTGAATTTTCATTTTTCACATTTCTGAATCGATATGATTTATTTTGTGATATTACTTTAATTATCAATTTAGTATGTAATATACATTTATAGCTTATAGTTTGTAAATAAATTATGAGTGTATATTTTCTTGTAGATATGGCTCCATTTTATGAAGAAGTATGTAAAGATTTGGATTGGCCTGTAGATGATGCCCTTTTATCTGAAATGAAGGCTCGCAATATGGAAAAATTAAAAGAACTCGATGATGCGATTGAGGATGCTGAAAAGAATTTAGGAGAAATGGAAGTTCGTGAAGCCAATTTAAAGAAATCTGAGCATCTTTGCAGAATAGGAGATAAAGAAGGTGCTATCTCTGCATTTCGAAAAACTTATTATAAAACTGTATCTTTGGGGCACAGATTAGATATTGTATTTCATAATATTAGGATTGGATTATTTTATTTGGATCATGATCACATTACAGCCAGCATAGAAAAAGCTAAGAGGTATGAAAATATTAAAACTTAGTTCTATGCAACGATAATGTGTAAAATATGGCAAATATTACTTTTTTTATCGTTTTAGTTTAATCGAGGAAGGTGGTGATTGGGATAGAAGAAACCGTCTTAAGGTTTATCAAGGAACATATTGTATAGCAGTACGAGATTTCAAAGAAGCTGCAAATTTCTTTTTGGATACAATTAGCACATTTACAAGTTATGAGCTTATGGATTATAATACATTTGTTAGATATACAGTATACTTAAGTATGATAAGTTTACCAAGGAATGAGCTCAGAGATAAAATCATTAAAGGATCAGAAATTTTGGAAGTGCTTCACAGTAATCCAGATGTGAAAGATTACTTGTTCTCTTTATATAATTGTCACTATGCTGATTTCTTCAAGAATCTTGGTATTTAAACATTTTTATTGAAAATGAACGAGCATATATTTACTGAAAAAGTGAAATATGTAACAATATGATAATATCTTTTTAGCACATGTTGAAGGCTTACTGCGCAGGGACTATTTAATATTCCCGCATTATCGGTATTATGTTAGAGAAATGCGCATTCTTGCGTATACGCAACTTTTGGAATCGTATAGATCTCTAACACTGCAATACATGGCAGAAGCTTTTGGCGTTACAGTAGAATATATTGATCAGTAAGTTTTATAGTTTTTCATTTTAATTATTTTGAGTGTATGATATGTATTTGTAACTGAATTTTTTCTTGTAGGGAACTCTCACGTTTCATTGCAGCTGGAAGATTGCATTGTAAAGTTGATTGTGTTGGTGGAGTAGTCGAAACCAATAGACCAGATAGCAAAAATTGGCAATATCAAGCTATGGTTAAGCAGGGGGATTTGCTGCTTAATAGGGTGCAAAAATTATCACGTGTTATTAATATTTAATTATATAAAAAATAAATCATAATAATTCAATATCAAACGAGAAAACCTACTTATTTGCATGTTTGAAATTCTTCTAAACTAATTTGTAACATAATTAACATTAATTTTGTATCAAAGAACTTCATTATAATTACTCAATTTTATGATAAAAATACACATATTAAATGTGACTATTGATAAGAAGTACGTATATCATTTAGTCCCACCCACGTATATTAAATTATTTGTGAATGAAATATTGACATGAATTGAAATAATTAGCACATTTTAGATACATAGAATATTGTATAGTTTTAAGAAGCAAAATAATCCTAATAATTTATGATTTAAGAGTAAATTTAGATCACAATTATTCAACTTAATCATTATTCGACATTTGTCGATTTAAAATCTGAAAGTTTACATATGCAAGTCCAACTCGGGCGTATTGGCCGATTGTACATAAGCTGTAAAATCACAGGGACAAAGGGACTCTCCCACTGACGATGCTCTATTGAGTAGCTATAGCAACAGTGACGCCTCGATTTTGATACATTGTTGTTATTGGTCGAGCTGCGCGACGAAGAATGCAAACAAAACTGAATGCGATGAAGTGAGATGTAACGGTCATTGGCGTCAAATTTCGTTTCAACACGGTGGCGGCTTTTTAAGTTAACGGAATCCAGGGGATACAGGGCTCGACTGCTATGTTTCCTGGAAGGACCGTGGTGGAGCGTGTGGGTGATCCTCCTTGCCCCTACGACTTTTCAGCTTGCGGGTAGTCAGCCAACGCATCTGAGCGCGTCTACATCTATGTGTGCATACAGTTGATTCTTGAAAGAGAAGTTTATTTCCCGTGTTTTGTATTATTCAGTATTTTGTACAGTAAATATTAATTATTATAAAATTAATATTAACTTCAAACAGATAGTGCATATAGTATTTGCGAAAAGTCTTGCAAAGCATTTAAATTGCAGTAACGGTTGTTTCACTGAAACGTGAAACAGGTAAAAAAGTATATATCGAAAATGGGACGAAGAAAGAGCAAACGACAAGCTCCTCAAAAGAGGAAAGCTATCGAACCTATGGACATACAATTTACGTGTCCATTTTGTAATCATGAAAAATCGTGTGAAGTTAAAATGTAAGTCCTGTGTTTCCAAATGAAAAAATATTTGGTGAAATGTAGAGTGAAACTTAGTATGGTTTGTGATTTTAGGGACAAAGGCCGGAACACAGCAAAGATTTCGTGTCGGGTTTGTTTAGAAGATTACCAGACTACCGTCAATGTGTTATCCGAACCGATTGATGTGTACAACGACTGGATCGACGCATGTGACGCCATAAATTAAATGACACTCTTTGGACACTGAACAAATAAACTTGTGCCTTTTTGTACACTGAAAAGATTCTAACATTTGTGTTATATATTTACAAATATTGTCGTTCTATTAATGATCCGAAATTATTTTCTACATCGACTGTAACGAATTAACAATATTTATCAATATCTGATACATATCGTTGTTATGTATAACATGTACTGGTTGTTCCACTTGTTAACTGTATGATATTTCTGTCCATGAAAACAAATAGAAAACGAACACGTATTCTATTAAATAAGAATAAAAGTGCACGTAAGAAATAAGAAAGATAAATAATTATTATATTGTATAATTTTGTATGTTTGTAAGTAATTATCGCTTAATATTTAATAAATCTCAATATTGTAAGTTAGTTTCTGGTTATTTCAATGCATCCTATAAAATTCCATTAATGACACTTGGGCTGTCGACAAGAATGACTTTTAAAATGCGCGCTGTATTTGAACTTTCCTGATATAAGAAATGACGCAAACCCTATATTGTTCTTCAATGCTTGCTACTTGACAGTAGATGAGGAATCGTGTTAAGAAATTTTGTCCGTTATCGAATCAGTTTGGCAGACATTACGCTCAGGGGTGTGTGCTCCTTTACGGTCCAAGAGATGAAAAATTTTCCGTTTACGTTTCACGAAAATTAAAACCTTTGTACAAAGTGATCTAATTCGTTATTTTTTTAATGGGGGTAACATTGATTTTGTAAACATTGCATGACATTTACTTGTGCTCGTCATCGTCCAAAAATACCGAGTGGCGAAATAGAAAGACTGACTAACGTGAAAGTGTAAGAACAGAGTCTTCAATTTACAATCGTAAAGGATGGATAAAGCAAAGGCATTACATGGTGGAAGTAAATTGCCACCTCTTCGGGGCTTAAATGATTTCCTTCTGGAACCGTCACGTTTCCAGCTACCCAATTTTAATGATTTTGAGAAATGGGGTAACAGAGTAGTAAATAATCTAATATACTATCAAACGAATTATCTGTATATGTCGATAAGTATTATGCTTATTGTGGGGTAAGTAGCTTTTATAATATTTGGGAAATATTATTTTAATTAAATTTACTGATTCCTTTCATATTTTTCATTATCTAGATCAATGAATCCATCAAAGCTATTCGTTGGTCTGTTATCAATGGCAGCTATATGTGGTCAATGTCTATTTCTTTTTACCAATAACGAAGAAATATGCAAAATTAAGAAACAATATCCACAACTTCAAATCATATTTCTTGTCGTCTGTGCATTTTTTGTAATTTACACTATAAATTCAATTCTTGTACTGTTATTTGGCATTTTATTGGCATTTTGTGGTAAGTTTTACAGTTAATTTCATGAGTACAATATGTTTAATCAATTTGTACTAATCTTATTGTTGATTTTAGTGACTTTTATACACGCATCGTTGAGATTAAGGCATATTAAAAATAAGTTTGTCAACAAAATTGAGGGTATGGGATTGGAACGTACGCCAATGGGCATATTCTTAAAATATTTTGGTATGAAAGAAGAATTCCTTGATTAAGTTTTTATTACTCGGTTACGAAAAAACGTACTTCCGTATGTACTTATGTAATGACAAATGTATACATGTATTTTTAATATCTTAAATGTCACGTTAAGCTTAACTTTATTAATGTTTAAAGCAAACATTTATTTTCTTATATTCTAATATTATGCTTTTTCAATTAAGAAGAGCAAGAAACAAATCAAAAAGCATAACAATTTTAGGCTTGCTTAACTCTTCTATAACGAATTTATTTATTAATGAAAACTAATGTGAATAGTTATTTATTGAATGTTATTTATAACAAACAAATCATGTAATACTCAAACTATTAATGAATAAGTATATCATTATTGAAAGTACCAGAGGTTAATAATAATATTGATATTTAATATTTTTTCCACAGTTTTCTTCCTCTCTTAAGAAAGGATTAAAGAAAACTCAGATCAATAATTATTATAGAATATATGCAATACTGCTATATGTTGTTCTACTTGTAATGTAAAATCTTAATAAAATAAAAGTACTTGAATATAAATTAAAATTTTTAAGGAATTAATCTTGAACAGTATAAATCGTTTCATAAATTTAATATACTCTACATTTCCTTTCATTTATAAATTCCATGTATTTTGTCGAATAAATTTAACAGATTGTATATAGAAATATATTTTTTTCATGCATTATGTAAAAAAGAGTTTACAAGTATTATGTATAAGTGTAAAATACTGATAGAACTAATACCTTAATATAATATTAACTAATTTTATGGCACTCATTGATTACAATTTGTATTACAACATAATTAATTTGTAACCTAATTTTTCGTTATTTTCTTTTTATTTCATAAGCAGAAGGTGTGACCTTACGTGCACAGACAACTTATACCCAATCTCTTCAGTAATATTTCCTCCTAACGACTGTTTGCCAGTGATTGTACTTATTAATTAATTGGTGCTACCCTAATTCGCTGGAAAAGTGCTTATGGATAAATATTGCAGTGAAAGTTATGTACTGAAATTTTTACAATAAATTAAAAAAATATGTAATAAAATTATCCAATATCTTTTACATTTATAAAATAATATGTAAATGCATATAAATTGAAATCTGATATCAATGAAATGTTTATGAATATATATGACTTGTACGATTTATGGATATATATGTTAATGTACCAATTTTTTATTACAATGATGTAAATAAAGATAGTGGTGTATATATATATTTTGTTAATCACATTTATTTAAAAAATTGAATCGAAGCAAATAAATTCTTAATGTGTAATTTACGTCTGTAAAATTAAAGTGTAACATGTCGGGCAGTTTGCGAGAAAAATTAATATTTTGAATACAATGTCATACTTGATTATAGTATTATAAATTTACTGTTAATATTTCATATAAACTTTGTAGTACTTTCTGATAGTACATTACATTATTTTATTGTTACCACAGTAAAAGTGGACGGTAAATACATTTAAATAGAGTATACGTATTTATATTTTTAATTCAATGAGAAAATTTGTTTATTTATAAACAAAGTTAAATACAATGGTGCATATAAAATATGTTGGACACAACTAAAAAAACAATGGCTTACTGATAAAAAAGAAGATATGAAAATTATTTAGAACTTATATTCTAGTCTTATTATGGAAGTATTATTTGTCTAACAATTATAATTAAGATCTTCTGCATTCATATTTCTAGTTCTCTATGGTTTTCTGATTTATTTCTACTTGCATTAGAATGTAGTTTAGATATAGCAGTTTAAATTGCGAGGAAGTGAATGAACTGATTAACGCTTTCTTTCACTATAATTTTACTGATGCACGAAGATTTATAATAATGTATAGATTGTATAAAAATTAATTATAACGAGCATGGTGATTTTACACCTTTAGATAGGTGAAGATTTGATTAAAAACCGGTCCCTACAAAATTGACCTTGACCTTGAATTTCAAGGTCAACATATTTTTTTAATGTAACATATTCTATTCGTTACGAGGAAAGATGTTTTGACAGAACCATGGATCGGAACTCAATCGTTCTTATTGAAAGAGACATTAAAGTTCAGGAAGTTTTCGTGATCACTTTACACATTACATATATGCTTACATTGTGCGGACTAGTGCAGTGAGAATTAGGTACAGATACTATTGTAGCAGGTATTTACCATAGAATCATTATTACGCACCTCTCGTTTCTTTTACTTTTTTCTTTCTTATCCTCTGCTATTAAGATTATACCCCTCACCGTGTTGGACTATTATTATTATCGGACGCGAACTAATCCAGCATCCAGGTAGTGAAATTTTATGACATACCTTTCATAATTATAATATCCCAGAATTTTATGACATACTATCTAGCTGTTTACAATCGCCGATCGCAGATCATTTTGTGTTACCGTGAGCAGTTAATTCATTGATTGAAGTTTTATTGTGTGATAAAGGACACACTGAAAATAATATGAGGAAAGAAGGAGAGAGATGTATTATCAAAACGAGTCATTGGTCAGCGCTTAATTCTTCGTCTGTGTAAGTAAGAATTTGAATGACTCGTCATTTGGTTGTTTTTCCCATCTAAGCTAACGGCTTGCGGTCTAAATTAAAATATATGTTAAAATAATTTATCTCGATTAAAAGCGCTGTCCTGAACATTACTTTTTTTATTCAGAAGATTTCTGTATGTATTATAATATTGGAACATTCAATGATAAGAAACATGAAAATTATAATTATACTTCAATGTTAATCGAACACACATGGCATGAATATTCATAATTGTACCATTTGTTTTTAAATTGCATGATACTTTTCAAACGTAAGATATATTCCAATTTGTAGTTGAAGAAAAATAAATACTCACAGTATGTTACCTCATTCTGTAACAGTAAGCAGAGTCTGTTAATTTTAATAATATCTAGAACATTAAAACAATACACTTACCATATTACACAGTATGTATAATTTTCTTGTAAAGTAATAAAGTATTTATAATTTTGTTATGAATACTGTATTTGCTGGAGATAATATTGTATCTGATAAATGTATTTCTGGGGAAAGCTCTCCTATATTTGTTTTTGGAAATGGAACTAAATAACTATGATCCGATGACGAGTAACCCAAACTTTCCATTTTATTTATAAAATCCTGAAATATGAAAATTAGTACGTTTTTTAAAATATACTTGATTTATATAAATAGTAAAATTATAAAGCTTACTTCTATTGTGTTCGCTGCACACATTGACATTGTTTCTCTTTTACCATTTGGCAATCTTAAGCAAAGTCTTACAGATTCATTACCTGCGCACAATAATATTTGAATTACTTTGTAAAATTTCAAGTTATTAATAGTCTTTCTAAACAAATTATAATTTCATTAAAATGCAATAATTTCTTACTCGTTTTAATGTTGTTCAAATCATATTTTGGTGCACACGATTCATCCTAAACAAATTGTCAATATTCATTTTCATTACAGAGTATTGATTATAAACAATTCTGTATAATTTATGAACATACCTTTGAATTTTCTTGGACTTTTTCCTTTACGTCTAGCTCATCAATTTTCTTTTTTTTATTTGTATTTTGAGATTCATTGGAAGACATACTTGAACTTGAACTTTGAATGTCATCTATATTATTGTAACTGTCTAAGTCATTTAAACTATCAATTAAATGTTTAGAAGTTCTAGTACTACTGTCATAATCCTAGAAGTAGAATATGTTATATGAAAGAACGATTGTTACTTTCAAATTTGTAGTTAATTTAAATATAGTGAAGTATATATTTACTTTTGAATTAGTTGCAGAATTGTCATTTGTTGTTGCTGTACTACTACTACTACTAGTAGTAGTAGTAACTGATGTTGTTGCTGTTGTTATTGTTGTTTCATTACAGTTATTCCATTTTTTAGGACTGAATGAATCGCTTGATACACAGTCCGGAGATGGATGAGTGCTTAACATATCATTTAATGCGAATATTAAAATGTTAACAGTAATGTGATTGTACGTTTGCATGCATTCTCCTGTTCTAGGATCTATTACTGCCACATAAGGATATTTAGATACATTGTAGAAATCTATATAACGTTTTCCATCACTAGTGCTTGATAAGACCTATTAGAAAATATATAATATTTTCATAACCATCTCTTATTTTTTTAACATAGAAGAACCAGTAACTGATTACAACTTACTTGCCATAAGACAAAATGATCCTTTACAATTTCCTGAATTTGCTGATTCGACCATACATCTCTATTAAGAATCTGGCAAGCAAATTCCTGAGGATTCTGTATATTTACAAGTAACCAACGATTTAATGTCTTGGCATGTGCACGAGCTGCCAAAAAGGGGCCCAAGAAGAGGATACTGTATGGAGGTCGAAATAAATCTTCTAATCTATTTGATCTGCGCTGAGAAGGTTGTTTAAGTATTGAAAATCTACGAGTCATTCTTTCTTCCTGTAGCTCTACATTAAATAATTAACCAAGTTACATATTTTTGATGGATTACTAAATAATTTTTAGTAGTACTGGTAATGCTTACGTGTTTCTACTGCAAAATCTCTAAATCTATCAAACACATTATTTGATATTCTTGGAAATGAACAAGCTGGATCCGATGGTACCAATATTTCTTGTGTTGGTAAAATCGGAGGTCTTACTTCTGGTTCAGGTTCAGGATCAGTGCGTTCAGGTTCTGTCGCATGATTTCCCTCGTACATTAAGATTATTGCAGTTTCCACATTACCATCAGTCAGGGATAAATATTGACGAGCAGTGGCTTCACTCTCCCCTAATAGCAAATAATACACTTAACTGTATATAATGCAAATAAGATGGATAAAACAAATAGAGATTTTATATAAATAGTGGATGAAACTGAACTAATATCTACAAAAGATTAACCAATTCTTCATTAGAAAAATACTAACCTGTTACTTCCATGAATTTTTCAACAAGTTCTGGATCCATCGTATTTTCGGATCACAAAAATATTTTTAACAAAGTTTATGAATATCGACTGAAACCTTTAAAGTAAGATCAACCGGTTGACATTTCCGAGTATT